ACGGGGCTACCCCGTCATGGGGATTCGAACTGCCGACCTTCTGATTGGCAAGTCCTAGGCTCTCTGCTTGTTAAACCACTCTGGGAAGTGTAGCTCTGTGAGGGGAATCGCTGGAAGGAGAAGGGGACAAAACTAGGTTGAATCGATTCCACATCCCATTGGCTCACGCTCAACTTATTGTTGGGCTTCCTACTTCCTGCCCACCCACTCCCAGTGGGCACCAGTCACCACTAGCGGTTGTGAATTAAAAATGGGAGGCACAGAGTGTGAGGAAGCATGCTCTGAATGCCTTGAGGGTTAGGGGCTCTAGAGAAGAAGCAGTAAGAAGTGGAACTAAATATTTCACAAGTGGATGCAAACCTGTCTCATCACAAGTTCCTCCTTTTCCCTTTTCTCTCACTGCCAGTTTCAAGACCATCATCCACTACATTGACAATCAGTTTGAAAGGTACCTTCATGACGAGAGCGGCCTCAATAGGCGCCATATTGTAGACAACAGAGTTCATTGCTGCTTTTACTTCATATCCCCTTTGGACATGGGTAAGAAAAGATTTGCATTCTAAGGCTGAACTTTTTTCACCGTTAAGCGGGCGCTGGGGAAATTCCAGCAAAGAGATTTAACCACCTTACGAGCAAAGCAAGTTTCTTTGTTGTCAGTCGGCCAACTCAATTAAAATCATCTTTGGGATTAATGACCTCCATTTCAGAGAGGATTTGCTATTAAAACTTGTCAGGGGCACATATTAAAAATGGATGACTATCTAGAAACTTAAAAGTTGTAATAACTATGTCTTTTCATATGTGTAAATGGAAAGTTTAATTAAGCATGTCAGCCACCCACATTTGAAGTAAGTAGTTTTGCTTTTCACCTGGGTCTTGGAAGTTCTGTTTGTTGCCAGCAAAAGTAGAACTTTCTTTAACTTACAAGAGTTATACTTCAGCTTAAACTCTAAAAATGGTGTACACCCTCCTACCCTCAACTGAAATAACAATATTGAAAATATTGAAACACTCTAAAACAATGATGAGGGGAACCTATGGCCCTCTAAGAGTTTCTAGACACCAACTCCCATCAGTCCCAGCCAGCTTGGCTATACAGTCGTACCTTGATTCTCAAATAGAATGTGTTTCGGGTGTCCGTTCGACTTCCGGAACTGTTCAGAGACAAAGACACGGCTTCCGATTGGCTGCAGGAGCGTCCTGCAGCCAATCAGAAGCCATGGGAAGCCGTGCCGGATGTTCGACTTCCGAAAATAATTCGAAAACTGGAACACTCACTTCTGGTTTCGATCGTTCGGGAGTCGAAACGTATGAGTTCCAAGGGGTTTGGCAACCAAGGTACAACTGTATTGAATTGATGGCAGATTGTGTTAGAGACCAAGATCTAAATTTGGGGGAATTGCAGTTCAGTGGGAGAAATGTTCATTTAAAAATTACTCAATGATATCGAAAACATTAGCTTAAGAAGCTACTGAGTATAAAAGCAGGTCAGGGGCGATGGAAGTTGTGGTCCAGCAACGTTTGGTGAGCCTCTCCAGAAAACCCCCCAGTGGTCATCCAAAACAATATCAGCAGCAGGACTAACCACAAGAGCAGAGGACTAATTCTGTTTGTGGAATTAAAGAGGGAGATAAATAACCACCCGTGAAACGGTGTTCTGGAGTTCCAGGGCTGCATTTGCAAAGACCCTGCTGCTTATTGGGATCTTTTTGACTTTAGATACATAACAGATGATCCATAAGATGCTGCCAAGGAGATCTTCACCCAGGACTCCATTAATAATTATTGAGGTTTCCTCCCCTCCCCCCAATAATTGATACACAGGCTGAAGCCCTTGGACGTAGAATTCATGAAAGCACTTCATGGGAAAGTCAACATTGTCCCTGTGATTGCCAAGGCAGACACTTTGACACTGAAGGAGAGAGAGAGACTGAAAAGAAGGGTATGTATAAGCTTTTAAAACGAAATGCCACATCCTGTTTCCAATGAGTTTGTATCTGCTATATGCCTTAGAAATGTGTGTATCT